AGGGGGAAGGGGGGAGAAAAGGGAAAAAGGGGAGAAAAGGAAAAAGGGGAAGAAAAAGGGGGAAAGGGGGAGAAAATGGAAAAAGGAGAGAAAAGGAAAAGGAAAAGGGGGAAGAAAAAGGGGGAAAGGGGAGAAAATGGGGAAAGGGAGAGAAAAGGAAAAGGGGGAGAAAATGGGGGAGAAAATGGAAAAAGGGGGGAAAAGGAAAAGGAAAAGGGGGAAGAAAAAGGGGGAAAGGGGGAGAAAATGGAAAAAGGGGAGAAAAGGAAAATGGGAAAAGGGGGAGAAAAGGAAAATGGGAAAAGGGGGAGAAAAGAAAAAAGGAAAAGAGGGGAGAAAAAGGGGGAGAAAATGGGGGAGAAAATGGAAAAAGGGGGGAAAAGGAAAAGGAAAAGGGAGGAGAAAAAGGGGGAGAAAAGGAAAATAGGGGAGAAAAAGGGTAAAAGGGGCAGAAAATGGAAAAAGGGGGGGAAAGGAAAAGGAAAAGCTGAGAAAAGAAACCTGAAAAGCCAGGCTGGAGCATCTCATTGATTGCAGAGAAGGCAGATAAGGGGCTTTATCTGGGATGTCTCGGTCTGGAAAAGAGAAATTGAAGGATGTTTTTTGTCTGGACATCCCACCCTGGGCTGCAGGATCCTCCAGCAGCCTGGGCTCTTATCAGCCCTGCTTTGGTATTGCTGACAGTCTCCTGCAGGCCAAAAAAAGGAGGAAAAAATCAATGGTTTATCAGCTCCAGGCTGCCACATCAAACGTCTTTTCAAGGGGCTTCCCCTCCCTTTGGCAGCTCCAGGGGTGAGGGAGGGACAGGAGATCCTGGGATGGAATTTGTCCGTAAATTGGGTGTGAATTCTGGCACCTTCCCACCCTGCAGCTCCTTAAATACCCACAAAAAACCCAAATATGGAGCAAAAAATCCAGATTTGGGGCTGTGAACTGCCTGGCTCCTGTGGGAGCACACCTGGGCCAGGTGAGGGCAGGGACAGGAGCTCCTGAGCTGGAATGTGTCCACAAATTTGGAATTTCTGGCATCTTAAACCCTGCAGTTCCCAAATACCCACCAAAAAAAACTCTAAATATGGAGCAAAATATCCAAATTTGGAGCTGTGCACTGCCTGGTTCCTGTGGGAGCACACCTGGGCCAGGTGAGGGCAGGGACAGGAGCTCCTGAGCTGGAATGTGTCCACAAATTTGGAATTTCTGGCATCTTAAACCCTGCAGTTCCCAAATACCCACCAAAAAAAACTCTAAATATGGAGCAAAATATCCAAATTTGGAGCTGTGCACTGCCTGGTTCCTGTGGGAGCACACCTGGGCCAGGTGAGGGCAGGGACAGGAGCTCCTGAGCTGGAATGTGTCCACAAATTTGGAATTTCTGGCATCTTAAACCCTGCAGTTCCCAAATACCCACCAAAAAAAACTCTAAATATGGAGCAAAATATCCAAATTTGGAGCTGTGCACTGCCTGGTTCCTGTGGGAGCACACCTGGGCCAGGTGAGGGCAGGGACAGGAGCTCCTGAGCTGGAATGTGTCCACAAATTTGGAATTTCTGGCATCTTAAACCCTGCAGTTCCCAAATACCCACCAAAAAAAACTCTAAATATGGAGCAAAATATCCAAATTTGGAGCTGTGCACTGCCTGGTTCCTGTGGGAGCACACCTGGGCCAGGTGAGGGCAGGGACAGGAGCTCCTGAGCTGGAATGTGTCCACAAATTTGGAATTTCTGGCATCTTAAACCCTGCAGTTCCCAAATACCCACCAAAAAAAACTCTAAATATGGAGCAAAATATCCAAATTTGGAGCTGTGCACTGCCTGGTTCCTGTGGGAGCACACCTGGGCCAGGTGAGGGCAGGGACAGGAGCTCCTGAGCTGGAATGTGTCCACAAATTTGGAATTTCTGGCATCTTAAACCCTGCAGTTCCCAAATACCCACCAAAAAAAACTCTAAATATGGAGCAAAATATCCAAATTTGGAGCTGTGCACTGCCTGGTTCCTGTGGGAGCACACCTGGGCCAGGTGAGGGCAGGGACAGGAGCTCCTGAGCTGGAATGTGTCCACAAATTTGGAATTTCTGGCATCTTAAACCCTGCAGTTCCCAAATACCCACCAAAAAAAACTCTAAATATGGAGCAAAATATCCAAATTTGGAGCTGTGCACTGCCTGGTTCCTGTGGGAGCACACCTGGGCCAGGTGAGGGCAGGGACAGGAGTTCCTGAGCGGGAATTTGTCCATAAATTTGAAATTTCTGACATCTTAAACCCTGCAGTTCCCCAAATACCCACCAAAAAAAACTCTAAATATGGAGCAAAATATCCAAATTTGGAGCTGTGAACTGCCTGGTTCCTGTGGGAGCACACCTGGGCCAGGTGAGGAGCTCCTGAGCTGGAATTTGTCCATAAATTGGGAGTGACTCCTGGCACCTTCCCACCCTGCAGCTCCTCAAATATCCACAAAAAAAACCTCCTAAATATGGAACAAAATATCCAAATTTGGGGCTGTGCACTGCCTGGTTCCTGTGGGAGCACACCTGGGCCAGGTGAGGAGTTCCTGAGCTGGAATTTGTCCATAAATTTGGAATTTCTGGCATCTTAAACCCTGCAGCTCCCCAAATATCCACAAAACAACCCAAATATGGAGCAAAAAACCGAAATTTGGGGCTGTGAACTGCCTGGCTCCTGTGGGAGCACACCTGGGCCAGGTGAGCCCAAGGACAGGGGTTCCTCAGGTGGAATTTGTCCACAAATTTGGAATTTCTGGCATCTTAAACCCTGCAGCTCCCCAAATACCCACCAAAAAACCCCCAAATTTGGATAATTTGGAGCTGTGAACTGCGAGCTGTGAGATTCCCAGCCCGAGCTGCTCTGGGTTTTCCCTCCGTGCCTCTTTGTTTCTGTTTTTGTCTGAGCTTTCCTATGAGAATGTTTGAGCTTGTTTATCTGTTTCAGCTGAAAAACTCCACAAGCCCCAGCAAAATGCTAATAAGAAGCATTAGCTGCAGTTAATTGTGATCCTCATAATTATCTCCTGCTACAGCACCAACCCTGAGAACAGCAGGATGGATGCCAGAGATAATCAGACAGAAGATCTGGGGGGAAAAACATTGAATTTTCTTATCCAAATTAAGATTTTTTTTTTTTCTTTTGGATTGATTACCTCACTAAATATTTGCTGTTGAGAGCGAAGCAGGCTGGTTCTGGTGAGGGCTGCAGAGGGAAAATGATGGGTTCTCAATTATTTACAGCCTTGCTTGGCTGCCTGAGTGTGCACCAGGAATGCAAAGGGAATTTTTGCTGTCGCCGGGAATTTCCACGGAGATTTTTCACCGGGAATAAAACACAGCCAGCGACGAGGGGGGGGGAAATTCTGCCCAGCCCAGGCTCCAAAATCTGCTCTGTGATAAATGGAGCTGTCAGCCAGGCTTGGTGATCACATCCACAGCACCCCAAACTCCCTGAGTTTGCAGAGCAGGAGTAAATGTTGGCTTGGCACGAAGCTTTGGGGTCAGCAGGTGAGAAATGCAGAAATCTCATTATTGAATGCATCAGTTTTTGTCCCAGCCTGGTTTCTATTCTCTTACATAGAATATATTCCCTTATATATGTCCCAGTTTGTCCCGGTGGAACCCAGTCGATTCCAGTATCCCCCAGAGGATCTCAATTTCTCCCAGCAGATCCCAGTAGATCCCAGTATCCCCCAGTAGTTCTCAGTAGATCTCAGTAGCTCCCAGTGGATTCTGGTATCCCCCAGTGGATCCCAGTAGATCCCGGTATTCCCCAGTGGATCTCCGTATTCCCAAGTGGATCCCAGTATTCCCAAGTAGATCCCAGTATCCTCCAGTAGATCTCAGTAGCTCCAGTGGATTCTGGTATCCCCCAGTGGGTCCCAGTGTCCCCCAGTGGATCCCAGCAGATCCCAGTGTCCCCCAGCGGATCCCGGCGGGTGCCCGGGGCTCCTGACCGGGGCAGGGGCCGCTTTCCCCGCTCCCCCGGTCCGGTCCCTCTCCCCCGGTCCAGCCCCGCTCTCCCGGTCCGGTCCCTCTCTCCCGGTCCGGTCTCTCTCCCCCGGTCCGGTCTCTCTCTCCCGGTCTGGTCCCGCTCCCCCGGTCCGGTCCCGCTCCCGCTCCCCCGGTCCGGTCCCTCTCCTGTATATTCCCTTATATTATATATAATACATTATATATTAATATAATTAACATAATATAATATAATATAATATAATATAATATACAGCATATATTCCCATTATATTCCCAGTATCTCCCAGTGGATCCCAGCTTCTCCCAGTGGATCCCAGCAGATCCCGAGAGCTCCTCTCAGATTGCAGTGGGTCCCAGTATCTCCTGGTGGAACTGTTTCTCCCAGTGGATCCCAGTATCCCCAGGGGATCCCAGTGGGTCCCGACAGCTCCTGACAGATCCCAGTGGATCCCAAGAGCTCCTCTCAGATCCCAGTATCTCCCAGTGGGTCCCAGTATCCCCCAGTGGATCCCTGTGGGTCCCAACAGCTCCTGACAGATCCCAGTGGATCCCAAGAGCTCCTCTCAGATCCCAGTATCTCCCAGTGGGTCCCAGTATCCCCCAGCAGATCCCAGTGGGTCCCCGTGGCTCCTCTCAGATCCCAGCAGATCCCAGCACCCCCAGTGGATCCCAGTATCCACCAGTAGATCCCCGTGTCCCCCAGTAGATCCCAGTTTGTCCCGGTGGAACCCAGTCGATTCCAGTATCCCCCAGAGGATCTCAATTTCTCCCAGCAGATCCCAGTATTATCCCCCAGTGGATCCCAGTATCCCCAGTAGATCCCAGTAGATTCTGGTATCCCCCAGTGGATCCCAGTATCCCCCAGTGGATCCCAGTATATCCCAGCGCCCCGCAGAGGATCCCCATATCTCCCAGTGGGTCCCAGTGGGTCCCAGTGTCCCCCAGCGGATCCCGGCGGGTGCCCCGGGCTCCTGGCCGGAGCAGGGGCCGCGTTCCCCGCTCTCCCGGTCCGGTCCCTCTCCTCGGTCCGGTCCCGCTCCCCCGGTCCGGCCCCGCTCCCCGGCCTTTGTCCGGGCCGGCCCCGGCCCCGTCCCCATGGAAACCCGGCGGGGCCCGGCGGAAAGGGCCGGGCGGAGGCACAAAGGAGCGGAGCGGGGCGGGACGGGCACGGCCGGGCCTGGGGCCGCGTCCTGCTCCGGGAACAGCGGCGGGAAACACCGGGAACTGCTCCGGGAACTGCTCCGGGAACACCGGGAACTGCTCCGGGGAACAACAGCGGGAAACACCGGGAACTGCTCCGGGAACTGCACCGGGAACTGCTCCGGGGAACAACCCCGGGAAAACCGGGAACTACACCGGGAACAAACTGCTCCGGGAACACCGGGAACTGCTCCGGGAACAACAGCGGGAAACACCGGGAACTGCTCCGGGAACACCGGGAACTGCTCCGGGAACTGCTCCGGGGAACAACCCCGGGAAAACCGGGAACAGCGGGGAACACCGGGGAACAACTCCGGGGAACTACACCGGGAACAGCGGGGAACAACTCCGGGGAACCCCAGGAAACAACCCCCGTAAAACACCGGGAACAGCGGGAAACAACACCGGGGAACAACCCGGGGAAGCACTGGGGACACCGAGAAGCCCCGGAAACACCGTGAACCAAGCCCGGGAACACCGGGGAGCACCGGGAACACCGGGAAGCACCGGGAAACAACCCCGGGAAGCACTGGGGACACCGAGAAGCCCCGGGAACACCGTGAACCAAGCCCGGGAACACCGGGGAGCACCGGGAACACCGGGAAGCACCAGGAAACAACCCCGGGAAGCACTGGGGACAACGAGAAGCTCCGGGAGCACCGTGAACCAAGCCCGGAAACGCCGTGAACACCGAGAAGCAGCCCCGGGAACACCGGGGAACACCGTGAAGCATGCCCGAAAACACCGAGGAACACCGTGAACACCGAGAAGCAGCCCCGGGAGCACCGGGGAACCCCGGGAACACCGCGAAGCAGCCCCGGAGCACCGGGAACACCGGGAACACCGGGAACACCGAGAAGCAGCCCCGGGAACACCGGAGAACACCGTGAACACCGTGAACCAAGCCCGAAAACACCGAGGAACACCGTGAAGCAGCCCCGGGAACACCGGGGAACACCGGGGGCACCGGGAAGCAGCCCCGGGAACACCGGGAGCACCGTGAACACCGAGAAGCAGCCCCGGGAGCACCCCCGGCACCGAGAAGCAGCCCCAGGAACACCGGGGAACCCCGGGAACACCGAGAAGCAGCCCCGGGAACACCGGGAGCACCGTGAACACCGAGAAGCAGCCCCGGGAGCACGGGGGAACACCGGGAACCCCGGGAACACCGAGAAGCAGCCCCGGGAGCCCCGGGAGCCCCGGGAGCACCGCGAAGCAGCCCCGGGAACACCGGGAGCACCGAGAAGCAGCCCCGGGAGCACCGGGAATCCCGGGAACACCGCGAAGCAGCCCCGGGAACACCGTGGCGGCCCGGCCCAGCCCTGAGGGTGAGGCGCGGCCTGCGCGGGACGGGCCGTGAGGGGAGCGGAAGAAGCGCCCGCGTGAGGGGAGTTTTGTGAGGAAAGCAGCCCCGGGAACACCGGGAGCACCGGGAACACCGCGAAGCAGCCCCGGGAGCACCGTGAACACCGCGAAGTAGCCCCGGGAACACCGGGAGCACTGAGAACACCGTGAAGCAGCCCCGGAGCAGCGAGGGCGGCCCGGCCCAGCCCTGAGGGTGAGGCGCGGCCTGCGCGGGACGGGCCGTGAGGGGAGCGGAAGAAGCGCCCGCGTGAGGGGAGTTTTGTGAGGAAAACGTTCCAAAAGTGAAATGCTGAGGGTGGGAGGTGGCGGCGGTGGGAAGGGAAGGTTTTCCAGCGACTGAAGAGGCTCCGAGAGCGCTGGAGAGGGAGTTTGGAGAAGGTGTGGGACAAAGGGGACGGGTTTAAACTGGGGGAGGGGAGGTTTTTGGGATTTTGGGAAGAAATTCGTCCCTGTGAGGGCGGAGAGGGCTTGGCACGGGTTATTCCAGGGGTGCCTCATCTCTGGAAGTGTCCAGGGCCAGGCTGGACAGGGCTTGGAGCAACCTGGGATCATGGAAGGTGGCCCTGGCCATGGGGGATCCCTGCCCACGTAAAGGATCACCCTGGATCCCTTCCCACCCACAGGATCACCCTGGATCCCTTCCCACCCACAGGATCACCCTGGATCCTTTCCCACCCAGAGGATGATCCTGGATCCCTTCCCACCCAAAGGATCATGCTGGATCCTTTCCCACCCTGAGGATAATCTTGGATCCCTTCCCACACAGAGGATCACCCTGGATCCCTTCCCACCCTGAGGATCACCCTAGATCCCTTCCCACCAAAGGATCACCGTGGATCCCTGCCCACACAGAGAATGATCCTGGATCCCTTCCCACACAGAAGATGATCCTGGATCCCTTCCCACCAAAGGATCACCGTGGATCCCTGCCCACACAGAGAATGATCCTGGATCCCTTCCCTCCCACAGGATCACCCTGGATCCTTTCCCACCCTGATGATCATCTTGGATCCCTTCCCACCCACAGGATCACCCTGGATCGCTGCCCACACAGAGGATCACCCTGGATCCTTTCCCACCCAGAGGATGATCCTGGATCCCTTCCCACCCAAAGGATCATCCTGGATCCTTTCCCACCCTGATGATCATCTTGGATCCCTTCCCACACAAAGGATCACCCTGGATCCCTTCCCACCCTGAGGATCATCCTGGATCCCTTCCCACCCTGAGGATCATCCTGGATCCCTTCCCACCCTGAGGATCATCCTGGATCCCTTCCCACCCTGAGGATCATCCTGGATCCCTTCCCACCCTGAGGATCATCCTGGATCCCTTCCCACCCTGAGGATCATCCTGGATCCCTTCCCACCCTGAGGATCATCCTGGATCCCTTCCCACCCTGAGGATCATCCTGGATCCCTTCCCACCCAAAGGATCATCCTGGATCCTTTCCCACCCTGATGATCATCTTGGATCCCTTCCCACACAAAGGATCATCCCGGATCCCTTCCCACCCAGAGGGTGATCCTGACAGAAATCTGGCGTTCTCATCAGCTCAGGCTCCTGGTCCTTTGCTGAGTTTGGTGCAGTCAGGGCCGAGGGGAGCTCCAGGCAGGAGGAATCCCTCCTGACCCCTGGTTGCAGGGACGTGGCTGCCCAGAGAGCCACAGCCATTCTTCTGAGAGTTTCTGCCGTTTCATTCATCACCTCCAGATGTTCTGCCTGCTGCTGACTTCAGAGCAGGCTCTCTTGAGGTGCAGCCCCCCAAAATCGTATTGAAAGCTGGTGTCTTCATCCCCCAGGAGGAGCACACGGTCTCCCAGGGCTGTGGGAGATTTTTCTCATCCTTTAGAGCTTTTTTTCCTGTGACATTTTTAAACACAGCCTTTGCTCACCTTGCAGATGGGTGTTTTCTGGACTTTTGAGTTTTCTCCAGGTCCCAGTGTGATCACAGTTGGTTCACAGAGGGATTTATTTCAAGGATTATCAATTCACTGGGTTATCTTTTGCAGCAGGAAGGGTTTTTCTGATAAAAGTTCAACCCCTGCCTTCTTTCCCACCACTCCAAAGTGGATTTTGCTTGTCGAGACCACCGTAAAGCTTTCCACGAGCAAAAGGATCACCAAACTGGGTTTGCATTCGGTGTGCTGAGGTTGTCAGAGCTGTGCCTCCTCTCTTCAGCACCACACAACTTCACAGCTCACTTTGGGCAGAAATCATCTCTTTTCCAGCCCTCGAGGGAGGCAGGGATTTGGCACAGAATGGGATTTTAGCCATGAGCACAGAGGTGCCCCAGCCTGAGGCAGGAAGGACAGGCACTGAGGAAAGCAGGGATGCAGCAGGAGCTTGAACACACCTGGTGTGATATCTAAACATGGGTGTTTGGGGGGATTTATCCTCAGTTTTGAGGTCCTGGTTCCACTGGGGGGTGAATATTCTCTTTATTCCTGCTCTGGGCTGTTCTCCCCCAGGAAGAGCTGCCTGAGCCTCAGCTCACACTGACCTCGAGGCAAAAGCTCCCTGTATCAGGGAATTCCTCCTCTTGGATTGCACTTAACATCTCCCCTTTCATGGGAATTGGGGGGGTTTAGCCTCAGTTTTGAGGTTCTGGTTCCATTGGGGGGTGAATATTCTCTTTATTCCTGCTCTGGGCTGTTCTCCCCCAGGAAGAGCTGCCTGAGCTCCAGGTCACACTGACCTCGAGTCAAAAGCTGTTTGTGTCAGGGAATTCCTCTTTTGGGACTACACTTAACATCTCCCCTTTCACAGGAACCGAGGGTGTGTTTGGGAGAGAACAACAGCCTGAAATTTGTTCCATCCAGCCATTCCAAATGTGCCATTCCCAGCCTGAAATTCGTTCCTTTCAGGGATTCCAAATTCCCAGCAGCGACTCCGTGCCAGAGTTTGATCCATTGTTAATAGGTCAGTGGCTGTAAATGGACCTTTCCTGTTGTTTTGACATCTGTCTTCATTTTTTTCCCCCCAATGTTTCTTCATTAAACCCCTGATTGACAGCTTGCTGAAAGGAAACCCACGGTAGCTGCTTTCCCTTTCACTCCTCTGCTCAACCCTCGTTTTCCCACCCCGACAAGCAGAGCTCCCCTCACCACCGAGCTAAATCCTCTTTCATCTTTATCCCTTGCCTTCTGCAGCGAGGAGAGGATGCTGTGATGCTGCCGAGATGCAGCGAGGAGCTCTGCTCCAGGATTTAGCTCTGCCCAGAGCGCCGGGGATGCTGCGGAAAGGTTGCCAGAGAGGCGGATACCAGCCTGCATCCAGCTTTTTGCTGCATCCCTGCTGCCGAGCCAGATATGGATCATCCCTGGGATTATTCCTGCCTGTCCCCGCGCAGGGAGGGGACTCTGGAGGTGCTGCTGTGCCAGGGGGGTGTCGATGGGCGCCGGACCCTGCGGGCGCTGTGGATTTTTCAGTTCTGGAGCCGACGCTCCCCTCACGGTGAGGTCTCTGTGGCGCAATGGACGAGCGCGCTGGACTTCTAATCCAGAGGTTCCGGGTTCGAGTCCCGGCAGAGATGATCTCCAGGCAGGTGTCTCTTTTATTTTAGGGCCATTTCCCTCAGAGATGATCCCCAGGCAGGTGTCTCTTTATTTTGCTGCCATTTCCCTCAGAGATCTTCTCCAGGCAGGTGTCTCTTTTATTTTGGTTCCATTCCCCTCAGAGATCATCTCCAGGCAGGTGTCCCTTTGCTTTTAGGTCCATTCCCCTCAGAGATGATCCCCAGGCAGGTGTCCCTTTTATTTTAGTGCCATTCCCCTCTGAGATGATCTCCAGGCAGGTGTCTCTTTATTTTAGGGCCTTTCCCCTCAGAGATGGTCCCCAGGCAGGGCCATTTCCCTCAGAGATCTTCTCCAGGCAGGTGTCTCTTTTATTTTGGTGCCATTTCCCTCAGAGATCATCTCCAGGCAGGTGTCCCTTTTCTCTTAGTGCCATTTCCCTCAGAAATCATCCCCAGGCAGGTGTCCCTTTGCTTTTAGGGCCATTTCCCTCTGAGATGATCTCCAGGCAGGGCCATTTCCCTCAGAGATCATCCCCATGCAGGTGTCTCTTTTATGTTGGTGCCATTTCCCTCAGAGATGATCTCCAGGCAGGTGTCTCTTTATTTTAGGGCCATTCCCCTCAGAGATGATCTCCAGGCAGGTGTCTCTTTATTTTAGGGCCATTCCCCTCAGAGATGATCTCCAGGCAGGGCCATTTCCCTCAGAGATCATCCCCATGCAGGTGTCTCTTTTATGTTGGTGCCATTTCCCTCAGAGATGTTCTCCAGGTGTCCCTTCCCTTGTTCCCTTTGGTTTCTCCTCCAAGCAGGTGTTTTAACCCCACATTTCCCCCTCAGTAAATCCCATTTTTGATTCCTTCTTCCCTAAGGGATGTTCTGTGGTCTCCAGCAGGGCCCAGCTGGAGGGAAGCAGGTCAGAACCTTCTGGTGGCATTTCCTGTGATAAATGGGGTCATTTTTTTTCACATGTGTGGCCAGAGAAATGTAGGTCTCTGATCTGAGTGTCCACCCTGGTAAATTTGGGTAACTCAGTGCTTCCTGCCCAGACACCTGAAATGGTTTTAAACGACCAGAGGGCAGAATTAAAAACAAATAAAATTATTAAATGCTTTCCTGGGAACCCTAGAGCCAACAGAAACAGTGGGATGATCCCATGGCAACCCTAGAACTGACAAAAATGTTGGAATGCCCCTCTGGAAATCCTAAAGCAAACAAAAATGGTGGAATGATCCTGCGGTGACCCCAGAACCCACAGAAATGGTAAAATGCTCCTCTGGAACCCAGGAACTGGAAAAAAAAAAAGGTGGAATTCTCCTCTGGTGTCTCCAGAACCAAGAAAAAATGTGGAATGGTCCACTGGAAATGCTAGAACTGGCAAAAAGGGTGGAATTCTACCATGGCAACCTTAGAAACAAACAAAACCAGTGGGATGATCCCATGGCAACCCTAGAACCAACAAAAACAATGGAATAATCCCATGGCAACCCTAGAACTGGCAAAAGTGGTGGAATGTTCCTCTGGAAAACCTAGAGCCAGCAAAAAATGGTGGGATGGTCCTGTGGTGACCCCAGAACCCACAGAAGTGGTGGAATGCTCTTCTGGAAATCCTAGAACTGACAAAAATGGTGGAATTCTCCTCTGGCAATCCTAGAATTTAAAAAAAATAAAATTATAAAATGTTCCTCTGGAAAACCTAGAGCCAACAAAAACGGTGGAATGGTCCTGTGGTGACCCTAGAACTGACAAAAATGGTGGGATGCTCCCCTGGAAATCCTAAACCCAACAAAACCAATGGAATGCTTGTCTGACAACCCTAGAACCAAGAAAAACTCTGGAACGTTCCCCTGCTATCCCTAAAATCAGCAAAAAACTCTGGAATATTCCTCTGCCATCCCTAAAACCAGCAAAAAAACTCTGGAATTTTCCCCTGCCATCCCTAGAACCAAGAAGAGCTCTGGAATGTCACCCTGCCATCCCTAGGATCAAGAAAAGCTCTGGAACATTCCCCTGCCATCCCTAAAATCAACAAAAAACTCTGGAATATTCCTCTGCCATCCCTAAAACCAAGAAAAACTCTGGAATTTTCCCCTGCCATCCCTAGAACCAAGAAAAACTCTGGAATGTCACCCTGCCATCCCTAAAAGCAAGAACTCTGGAATGTTCCCCGGCCATCCCTAAAACCATGAAAAACTCTGGGATTTCCCCTGCTATCCCTAAAATCAACAAAAGCTCTGGAATGTTCCCTGGCCATCCCTAGAACCAAGAAAAGCTCTGGAATGTTCCCCTGCCATCCCTAAAACCAACAAAAACTCTGGAATGTCACCCGGCCATCCCTAAAAGCAAGAACTCTGGAATGTTCCCCGGCCATCCCTAAAACCAAGTAAAACTCTGGAATGTTCCCCTGCTATCCCTAAAATCAACAAAAACTCTGGAATGTTCCCTGGCCATCCCTAGAACCAAGAAAAGCTCTGGAATGTTCCCCTGCCATCCCTAAAACCAGCCCAAAATGGTGGAATTCTCCCTGGAATCTCCTTTCCCAGGAGCTCTGGATGCTTCCTCCTGCCCCATGGACAATAAAACCCAGCAGGTTGGACACCTCTGCTTCTCCCCCCTTCACCCCCCACTCCAAACAGGGGCTGTGACATGGGGGGGACACTTTGTGCCCCCGATCCTCCAGGGATTTTTAACCCTTGTGGCTTCCCAGAGCCAGCAGGGATCGGGGTGGGAAAGGTGTTGGGCTCCCCCAGGAGCTCCCAGGGTTTGGGGTTCAGGTTTATTTAGGTTTATCCCTAAATAGATTAATCATTTCTGGGTGATTGTTCATGGTGGGGGGGGACAAAACCCCCCGGGCTGGGGGTCTGGGGGGTCTCTGCCCACACCAGGAGCCCAGGGGCTGCACTTCAGGGGGCAACAAAAATATGGGCAGGGCGGGGGTCTTTGGTGTCCTGGGGTCTCTCTGGGATTTTGGGGGTCTCCAGAGTATGGGGCAGTGAAGGTGGGGGGGGTTTCTGGATGTTGGGGGGGTCTCTGGAGCCCTGGGGAATGGGGAGGGGGGTTTCCTCTGTGTGGGATTGGGAAGGAGAAGGGTCTCCACTGCCCTCCTGGGGGATGGAAGTGGGGGTCTCTGTTGAGGGTGGGAGTCTCTGAGGGTCTCCAGAGTATGGGGCAGTGACAGTGAGGGGTCTCTGGAGTGTGGGGTGCTCCAGAGACCCCAAGGCTGAGGCTTCAGAGACCCCAAAGGTTCAGAAGCTCCACGAGGTGAAGAGGGGTCTGCCTTGTCCTGCTGGATTGACGTGGGGGTCTCTGCTGGGTGGGATGATGGAGGAGTGGGGGTCTCCACGGGATGATGTTTCCCGAGGCGGTTCCTGGGCCGTTCCTGGGCGGTCTCGGGGCGGTACCGGGGCTGTTCCGGGGCGGTCCCGGGGCGGTTCCAGGGCAGTACCGGGGCGGTTCCAGAGGCAGTTCCCGGGCGGTCCCGGGGCGGTTCCAGGGCAGTACCGGGGCTGTTCCGGGGCGGTGCCGTGGCCGGGGCCGGTCGCGCCATGGCCGCCGCTGCGGGGCTGGCGCTGCTGGCGCTGCTGGCGGCGGCCGGGGCCGAGCGGAGCCGGAAGGTGAGCGGGGCTCGGGGCCACCGGGGCCACTGGGGCTACCGGGGCTACCGGGGCCACCGGGCCGGGTGCGGAGCTCGGAGCTCGTCCCGCGTTGCGGCGGTGGCTGAGCGCCCCCCGTGTCCCCTCCTGGGGATCTCGGGATGTCCAGCGGGGACACGCGGGTCACCCAGAGCGGGTGACACGGGGACATCCAGGTGGGTGGGGTGGGACAGTGTGCTCGCCCAGGTAAAGAAGTTCTTGCCTCGTGCTGAAGGGAAACTTTTGGGATGGTTTGTGGGATGGAAACTTTTGGGGTGGTGTGTGGGACGTAAACTTTTGGGATGGTGTGTGGGATGGAAACTTTTGGGTCGGGGCGGTACCGGGGCTGTTCCGGGGCGGTCCCGGGGCGGTTCCAGGGCAGTACCGGGGCGGTTCCAGAGGCAGTTCCCGGGCGGTCCCGGGGCGGTTCCAGGGCAGTACCGGGGCTGTTCCGGGGCGGTGCCGTGGCCGGGGCCGGTCGCGCCATGGCCGCCGCTGCGGGGCTGGCGCTGCTGGCGCTGCTGGCGGCGGCCGGGGCCGAGCGGAGCCGGAAGGTGAGCGGGGCTCGGGGCCACCGGGGCCACTGGGGCTACCGGGGCTACTGGGGCTACCGGGGCCACCGGGCCGGGTGCGGAGCTCGGAGCTCGTCCCGCGTTGCGGCGGTGGCTGAGCGCCCCCCGTGTCCCCTCCTGGGGATCTCGGGATGTCCAGCGGGGACACGCGGGTCACCCAGAGCGGGTGACACGGGGACATCCAGGTGGGTGGGGTGGGACAGTGTGCTCGCCCAGGTAAAGAAGTTCTTGCCTCGTGCTGAAGGGAAACTTTTGGGGTGGTGTGTGGGATGTAAACTTTTGGGGTGGTGTGTGGGACGTAAACTTTTGGGATGGTGTGTGGGATAGAAACTTTTGGGATGGTTTGTGGGATGGAAACTTTTGGGATGGTTTGTGGGATAGAAACTTTTGGGATGGTTTGTGTTCTCGGGGGGTGCTGTCCAGAGCAGGGGCTGGGCTGGACCCCCCGGTCCTGCTGGGGTCCAGCTTTGAGGGGTTTGGGGGGACAAGGGTCTCCCACGTGGGGCTGGAGCTGAGGCAGCCCTTGCTCTGTCCTGGGTGACCCTGCCCTGCCACCCCCTGTCCTGCGGGGACATGTCCCAGGGCCACCCGTGTCTGTCCCTTGTCTCCCCTTTGTCCTAATGCAGTGGGACCAGCATGGCTGTGGGAAGGGAAGGGAAGGGAAGGGAAGGGAAGGGAAGGGAAGGGGCTGGGGAATGGAAGGGCCTTTAGGATGGGAAGGGGCTCTGGGGTGGGAAGGGGCTGTGGAAGGGAAGGGCCATTAGGATGGGAAGCAGCTCAAAGCTGTGAAATGCTGACCGGGCGTGTTGAGCAACAGCAGGGCTGCAGAGTCACGGGAGCAGAGGCAGCTGCAATGTCCCATCCCCCTGGCACGCTGGGGTTGTCCTGCAGGGCTCAGAGCCACCCCCAGCCCTGTCCCTGTCCCTGCCCCGCAGGTGTCCATGGAGTACAACCCTGGCTGGAACAGCTCCTCTGTGAACCTGCTGCACGTGCGGGCAGTGGGGCCTGAGGACACCCTGCACTACGTGTGGAGCAGCATCGGGGCCCCTTCTGTGCTCCTGGTGGCCACCAAGAGCCCCAGCAGTGCCCTGAGGGTCAACTGGACCCAGCTGCTGTCACCCAATCCTGCTGGAGCCATCTGGATCGACCCTCCCGACAGCGTGGTCTATTCCACAGCCGTGGTTTTCACCAAGGTACTGCTGGCAAGGGGCTGCTCTGGGGGTGCAGAGGGTCCCTGGGCAGCTTCCCAGCTCCAGGGAAATCCCCTCCATTCCCATTCCCATCCAGGGAAGTGTCTGAGCTGCTTGGCTGAGGCAGCTCTGCCTCAAGTGGATCGCGGATCTCCCGTCCCGCCGGTGCTCCCAGCCCCTCTCCCCTCCCTTCCCTGCAGCTGTTCGAGTTCAGCGAGGCCAAACCTTCGGGGGAGCTCTTCTACCCCACCTACGAGCTGTCGGAGTTCTCCTGGGACAGCCTCAACCACACCCT